CGATGGAGGGCCATGGGGCAGTGAGCCTCCCTTGTCCCACAGCATCCCCGGGATGCAGGCACCCCACACTCCTCTCATCCCTGGAACAGGTGGAGCCCCTTTGCTGCATGCCTCATCTGGGGTTTTTTTGTTTTGTTTTTAAATGTCACATCTATCCAAGTCAGGCTTGTTGTTGTGCTCACTGCACTGATTTTCCAAGCACACAGCTGAATGTTTGGGAGTTGCACGGCTTTCACCACCTCTCCTCACTGGCTTTGCTCCAGCCCAGCACTTCAGCTGCCCCGTGAGCTCTACCAAGGGCTCTCGACCTTCTGAGCATTTTGGTGTTGCAGGACCAGCCTGCAGCGCCGTGTCCATATCTGTGTCCCTGGTGGGTTTATCTGGCCCTGCCGGAGCCCACTGCAGCCACACCTTTTTCACACAGCACCTCCACCCAGGAGAGGGGCTGGAGTAGGGCTTCTGGCATGATGGCAAATTTGCCAGCTGCAAGTGGGCAGAGAAAATACCTTTCTTTTTCTTGCAGCTCTCAGCCGTATGAAGACTTAGGACCTGGCTTGGAAAACCAGGAATACCCCTGCCCCATCCATTCAAGCTGTCCCAGACTCCAGCCCATCACTGCTGGGCCGAAGGGCTGCCTCGGGGCCATGCAGGGCTGATATTGCGCAGCACGCTAGGCCAGCAGTGATCAGCAGGTATCTATCTGCACCCATGTGCCATGGGCTGCCACAGTTGAATGTGGGATCATGGAGCACCAGGTCGGCTCTAACTGGCCTCGAAAGTGCCCAGGTAATGTCTGAAGTGCTGCTCCTTTTGTTGCATTAAGAAATCTTCCCCTTCCTGCAAATCCCTCCTCCCTCCACCCCTCGGCTATACAACAGCTATTTCATCTCCGCTCATTTCAAATGCTAGTTTCAACCAGCCCTCTGAGCCAGGGAGAGCAAAGATGGACTCGGCGGGGCTGTGCCACAGACAGGAGAAGGTGGTATCGGTCCCAAGGCTACGCTGTGGCTGCCAGCATGGCAGTGATGGTTATCTGTTTGCTGACTGTCAGCAAAGCTCAAGGAGGCCCTGAGGGACGGGGCATGCACAGCCTGGGGCACTGGGAGGGTGTTTGGTCCAAAGGAGGGGGAGACAAAGGAGTGGAAATAGCCTAAAAGTTGGCCAGATGATGTCACCTACACCCCCTGAAACCTAGCAAGACACTTTTTCCAATTACTCCAGGTCTTTTCCCAAAATAAACCTAAACCTTGAAAATATTTCCACCACCATGCCCCCCCCACCCCCCGCTTTCATTCACGTTCTAGTTTCACTCTCCCCCTGGCCTGCCAAAATAATTTTTGGATGGGGCTAGGACTTTCAGAGGGTTTTCTTTCAGCCCAGCAGGTGATCTGGAAGAGATGTATCAACTGTATCAACTGCAATGCCGACCTGCCAGGGGCTTCGCTCTCCACCCCCAGAACTACGGTCCCCACTGAACCACCTCAGAGCAAGGCCATGTAGAGGAGGTCTGGTGCAGGAGTGAGAGCCCATGGCACATCTGCTCCCATAGCTTTCAAAGTCAGTCCCACCACAAATCTGTGCCCTCTGATATTTCAGACCATTGCAAAGCCACTGTTGCAAGCAGCCTCCAGCTCACAAGCATGAAACTTGTTATATGAACCCCTCCAGAAGGTTTCCCTCCTACACCCTCAGCCCCATGTCTTTCCTGGGCTGCCCTCTCTCTTTATTCATTGACTGCCAGGACTTCCCCATCTGGGGACTCTCTATCACCTGAGGCCGTCCGGGTGCATGGGACACGGCCTCTGACACCCCCAGCTCCCCTCGAGGACAAGGGACCCATGTCACGCAGCACAGGGGTGCTCCACAATGGATTAGTTGCTTGTTCATCCAACCTCTGGCTCCAGTTTTGTGCGCTCCACTGAATCATAGAATGGTGCTCCTGACCTCCCCTCAGCAGCAGTGCCTTTGCCACGGCAGGGGCTGCAGCAATGGGCAAGTCCGCTTTTGCACCCCCACCCCCAGCTGCAATCCGGTAGCTGAAGGAGACTTGGCTCCTGGAGAGGCCTGATGGACTACTCAGTTGTGGCTCTGATTTGTTCTGAGGGACACGGTGGGACCTGTTGGTGTTCTAGGACCTGTCTCCCACCCACCACTGATGCTAGACCAAAGCAGACAGGTCAAACAGCCGTGCTTTATCGCAGGAGATGGAGCTGGCGGTGGTGGGCTGGGGTAAGGGGAAAAAAAAGAAAAGGGGATCAGCCTAGGAAGGAACCGATCAGGCTGAGGAGCTGTGCACACCCTGCTCTCCTAAATGCAAACCATGCCTTTGGTAATCCCATCCACCTCTCCCCTCCTCTCCTTCCCTCTATCAGGCCACCAGCGCACACAGCCCCCTTTCTGCTCTGGAATGTGTTCTCCGAAACTTAATCTCGGCACAGGGCTCAGGCCAAATCCCCTGACAGATTCGGCCCCGTGACAACCCCCTCCTACCCCACTTCAGAGCTCAGCAACTCTCCCCTTGCTTTCCCTCACCGCCTCCTCCCACCCAGCCTGGCCTAAACATTTCAATCCTGATTAATGTATCAGTGACAAGCCAATAGCTCTTGGCTTTAAAGCAAAGGCAGCCCCCACTTTTCACAAACGTCTTCACTTCTTCATTTTCTTAAGACTTAGCCCCAAACTCCCCCTTGCTGGGAAGACGAAGCCCTTTCCATGCCTGGGGGCTGTCACTGCCGGGGCACGGCAGTCTCCTCTGCATGCACTTGCTCCACCAAAAACTGCACGGGTCTCTGAGAAGATCAGACACTCCGTTGCCTAAACAAGGGTGGTCCGCACAGAGCACCGCCCCCCCATCTCCAAGCAGGCGTGGGCTGCCTTTTCTCAGATGCATCCAAATACAGCACTGTCTCACATCTGAGCATAACATCTGGCCAAAACCAGGCGCCCATTAAGCGAAGTTCCCCACTCTAAGACACCCCCTCCCACGCACACACGTCTCCTTGGTCTGTCGCCAATACAGTGAGGAGCACGTAAGCTCAGAGTTAGGAACAAGGTCCCTTGCTCAGATCTGTGGCTCAGAAACAAGGTGGCTTTTTGCTGCCATGCCACTGCAGCCTTGCAGGAAGAGGACAAAGCCCTCGAAAGGGGGAGCACACCCTCCTGGGACCAAAAGCAGTAGTAATAAATACAGCCTCCTGCCTCTTAAAGACAAAAACCTCATTACAAGTGCTTTTAGATACTCTGCTCTCCTGTATCTGCCTCCTACCGACTTCTGCACCTGCCTTACCAAATGAGGACAGTGCAGCCTCTGCCTTCAACATCTCCATGCAACCCCATTCTCCCACCATCCCTCTCCCTCACCTTGGCTTTTGTCAAGGGATCTTCCCAATGGTGCACAGAGGGCCGCCAGACACTTAATACAGGTGCTCAGGAGCACCTCCTCACCACAACCAGACCAACCTTTCCTTACTGTGAGCACAGGGGCTGGTACTTTGGTTATGATGAACCCAGAGGCAACACAAAACAGCCCATGACCCACCACAGCACAGGCAGGGCAAAGGACTTCATTTTCTGTGCGTCAAGAAGGCAGCAAAACTTAGCAGACACTGTCCCAGCACTGGCAACGGCCCCACAGCAGCCTAGGCAGTGGTTTGGCCATCAGCATGAGCAGGTACTTTTTGGTAACCTCAATCAAGAAGTCAGCAACCAGATAGGGCAACGTGACAGCCAGGAAACCAACCACGCACACAAACCCCATTGCTCAAGTATTTCCTGCTCTTTGCGGTCTTGCAAAAACTGTCACTGCAGGACAGGTTTGCAGCCTACCATGCAGGAGGACTGCTTGGATCATGGCTGGGCCACAACGTGACAGCCAATCCATGATCAAAAATGCTACAAAGTGACCTAAGCCAAAGCAGACCTCCCTTGATGCCAGCGTGAACGAGTGAGCATGGATGAGCCTCTCAAGATGCACGAGTGATGGCCCGAGCAATGCAGGGGATGGCAGAGGACTAAAGTTACTCACTAGCTAATGTGACCACTGCGGGGACACTGGCAATGACTCCTTCGGGCACACGAGCAATGCACTGGTATCGCCCCACTGTGTGGTTGTTGAGAGCCGTGATGACAAGTTTCCCTCGCTCGATGTAGATACCCAGCACCTCGTCCGATCCAGCCAGCTCCTTCCCGTTCAGTCGCCAGGTGAGGTTCACTCTGGGGGGGTCCACCACACACCCCAGGCTGACTGGGCCTCCAAGCTTTTGGACAATGGAGGCAGGTTGCACTGTGACCTGCAGAGATTCACCTGCACAGAGGGAAAAAATGGGAATAAGAAAGCTCTGTGAGACTCAGCAAAAGAAAGGACAGAGGAAAAAACTGCAGTGCTGGTACATTTTGCACTCCTCATCACTTCCACTTGTGCTGTACCTTCTCCTTAGCTCCCCACACACCCACCCTAGTGCTTTGAGATGCACACCAGCTCCATTTCTTCTTGGCACCGCTAGACAGAGATTTCCAACTCTGACTATACAGTCAGAGTACAGCCCCTTCTCCTCTGGAGGAGTGTTTGAACCTAGACCTTTGGTCAAGGCTACTGAGGAAGCAGCGGAAAGAGAAAACCACTTTGTGCTTGAGGCGTGGCTATGCTAACCAGCATCAAGGCAAAACATAAGCAAAATAGAACAAATGGGTAAGAATAGAAACTCACTCAGTCTGGCAAAGCAGCTAGCAGCTGCAAGGATGAGGCAAGGGATGGGGGACATGGGTCTCTTCTTTCCACGTGTCATTGCCATTCCATGCGGTGTGTCCTGGGGCAGAGGCGCCCAGGGAAGGGTCCCATAAGCTGCCTCAGGGGATGCAGTGGAGGTGCGGCAGCAGATTCCTACAGATGACAAGAGACACAATGGATGAAACCCTCACCTCTCCCTCTGCTTTCCAGCCCTGCCTGACTTCTCTACCAACATCCCTAAACTCCCAGGACTTCACCAAGCCAGTAGCCTGAGCAGGCTACAGACAGTGATGCAAGCGCTTCTCTTCTCCAGCCTCTCCCCCAAGCATGGTCGTGAGTCTCCCAAGACATGTCATCCTCAGCCCTCGGTACAAATCTACACTTGTGGACACAGACACATACTCACTCCCCTTCCCCATTTCAGATTCAACACAGTGAATGCCTGTACTGTGCCAGCAATGCACACCAGGCAATCTTCAGGAGCAAAACACAAACACTGCCAACAGTGTCACTGGAGATATTCGCCAAGTGTTGCTGCCACTTCTTGGCCATGTCTGGAATACATTCTAGTTTGAACAAAAAAGTAAATTAATAGGTACAAGTCACGAGCTTTATGAATACAGAGGTGATACCACAGTTTCAGAGTCTCTTCCTGAAACACTGGCCATTCAATCCAGATGGGACTCCTTAGGACACGTGAAAGTTTCTCAGGGCATTTCTGCAAGGAATTATTCTGAAGTGGAGTGGACACTTTTTCAGGAGAAAAGAAATGTCCAGTTCTAAATTTGTTTCAATTCAGTGCAGTGAGCTGAGGGCAGATTATGCTAACTTGGCATAATACACCTTTATTCTAAACTAAGAGACCCAATCTATGGAAAGATTTCAGATTAACTGTTCTGCCTGAAACACACTGTCTATTTTGAGTTGAACTACCCTGTCCAGACAAACCACCAGGTTCATATTTGAAATCATCAACAACCTCCAAAAAAACTGAAGCCCAAGACCACTTGTCACAACCCAGATTGCTGTGAAGAGCTGCACACTGCAGCAGCGGTTTTGGAGAGACTGCCATGAATGAACACTACAGCAGACAAGCCAGGTCAGGTGGATTAAAGATCTAAGTGGCTGCACCAAGAGACACCTCAGATGTCAGACTGAATTCAGCTTCAACCAAGGGCAAAGGGCTGAAGTCAAGGAGAGGCTTCCCTCTATGGACACTGTAACACAGCTACAGGCTTTTGAGCTCCCTCCAGCTGCAGCACTAAAAAGATGACCTTCGAGTCTCAAACACTTTTCAGAATCGTTCCTGTGGCATGTCTACATTGGCAGGGGAGAAGCCCAAGACCAAACCAGCCATGGCAGCCTGCCCAAACAGCAGCTACATTGCCTGCTCCCCCTGCACATACACAACGAGCTCATTAGCCACAACCACCATCCTCAAGAACACCTGGACTCTGCAGAGCAGTATTTCCTACTTTCACTATGGTCACTGATTGAGCCATCACCTGTTTGAGCATGTCCTTTACATAACCATCTCAGTCAAAAAGAGGGGAGAAGTCCCTTCAAGCATAACTCTAAAATTAAACCTCCTAACTCCTGAAGTAAGGACTGCCACAGACCCCCCATGAGACATTCGGTGAGTCATTCAAGGCAAGGCTGATTACTGCTAGCAAGGAACCACAGCATTTGGGGAAGTCTCACCAAGACACTCTCAAATGATTTTGCTTGGCCTCTGGTGACAGCAAAGGTGCAAGAGTGCAGCTTGGGGTCAACGTCCATGGCTGGCCGTGCTGAGGTCCACATCATGAAAGCAAGAATCCAGCTAGCTAGCTTGCATGCATCTCTGCAAATTGGGCTCTCCCTCTGACAGCCTTACAAGCTGTCCCCTTCCCCTTCCCCCTCCCCCACACTCCAGAGCACTGCTTAGGGGAGAAGTCATGGAGGAGAAATTCATCTAAAGTTGAGAAGACATAAGAAAAAGAAAAGCCACCTCTGAGCTGGCAATTTTAAAAGGAAGCACCGCCAAGTAAAGTGACCTGCAGCTGGAGCTTTGCAAATGCCACAAAGAGCATCTTTACGTGGCACTTTGCAGGCTGATGTGAGCTCACTCAGCCAGCCTGCCCAGTGCACTCAAGACAAGGCAGCTCTTTCCTGGAAGTCATGCAGTCATAGTTAGCGTGGCTGTGAGGCCAAGATAACAAGCCCTGCTGAGAGGCAAGGTAAATTAGGTCAAGCTTGGTATCACCCGATGTGGCTTCCAGGCAGCCAGGAGCATGGACGGAGGAGCTCAGCCATCGGAAATCAGGCTAGGCATACCCTGAAGGCACCCAGGAAGATCAGCTAGACTCATACTCTAGCTACTGCAGCCCACAGACCCGTTACATGCAAAAATCCTCTGTGGGTAACCTCCACTGCCAAAGCGACAAGACAGCAACTTCCCCGCCACGGACCTCATCCTTCCTGGTATCACTCTCTTCCTCCAAGGAGAAAACAGAATCTTAGCAATTTGTCTTTGAAGGGTTTCCCCCATCAACCAGCACACACTGTTGTACGAGATCCTTTAGCTATTGACTTGGAGACCATCTGAGTTACTCAAGTTCATTTCTCCATGTAAGACACCCACCAAAGCACCCTTTGTTATGCTGCAGCCATCTTGGGCAAACCACCACTGACCATGGCCGTAAAAGTACTCAAGGTCTGTCTGCACCGGAACATGCACTGTTGACACCACTGATGCGCCACTAATTACACTCATCCGGAAAAGACTTTGAGTTAGTTTAGGATTAAAAACTGGGTTCAGTTTGTTCCTCACATCATCAGGGTTGCTGGGAATAGAAAGCCTTCCACCAATGTAGAAAAAACATTTTGGGGTAGGACTTAATGTCTTGTTCCTCAGTGCTGGAAGCCTACAGAGCAAAGCTGACTCATTCCCCCTATCTGGATGGGTTTGGCAGTAGGATGGAAAAATGTTGGACGGAAAAGAGTTGCTCCTTGGAGCCCATGCCGGGGGAGGGAATAGGCAAAGACGTTCCCAACCAGACCTCCCTGCAGCTCTGTGTTGCATGGAGCCTCCGGCCAGAAGGGCAAAGCCAAAGGCGCACAAGTGTGTAATGGACCCTTCGTGAGCTAGGACCACCCAGGCACATTGGTGCAATGACTAAACTGTCTGCCCCAGGTCTGTAAAAAGATGAAGGGCAATAGGTGGGGAGAAAAAAGGGGAGAGCAAAAAATTTGGCCATGGTACTAGGCAGATTGAACAGTATTGAGCAGAGACTGAGGAAAGAAGGTGTGTTGCAACAAGTGTATGGTACCTCCCCAAACCTCCAGGCAGAATATGAGCTCTAAATAGGGACATGTGGCCATTTCTTTCACAGCTGAGTGAAGTACAAAAAGTAAATGGCCGGCATAAAAATAATGAGGAAAATGAATGAAAACATCAATTCCAAAAGAACTATTAGGATCCAGGGCCAGATTTCGAAATTCTCAGCTTCCACAATTGAAGCCAGATTTTCAAAAGCATTCAGTTCTTGACATGCTGAGCTCTCCTGAATAGGCAACCAACTTATTTCGATGCCTAAATGGGAGCTGACCTCTTTTGAAAATGCTGCCCTTAAGCAGCCTGCAGTAGTGCAAAGCAAGGAACTTTATTAATCAGCCAGCTTTCGATCTGCCCAGCATCCCTGCAAGCACCACCAGAGCGGGCTGCAGCAGGAGAGGCGTCAGAGGTGGGGAGCGGAGGAGGCCCCAGGCGCTCCAGTTGCCTTCCCAGAGGCGGCAGTCCTGGGCAGGGGGTTGTGCCTGGGGCTGCAGGGCTGCTGCGCGACGGCGTCCTGCTCTGCTGCCTCTTCTCCCCAAGGCAGGTATGCTATGAGATACCCCTGACTGCTGTCACTTCTGCAGCCACCAACACCACCAGCCTCAACAGCTCCTGCTTAATTGCTATTTGGGAAAAGAAAGAGTTAAAGTCACTTAAAGAGCTTCTAGGGGGAGGGAAAACAAAAATTATTTGTTTATTTATTTTTAATTCTTTCCTGCCAGGTTAAAATAACAATTTCCTGTTGTTGGAGCAAAGGCTCTAAGTCCCTTTCAGACAGCCCAGTAAATCAAAGGAGGGGCCATTAGGAGAACAAAATTAACGAGAGCTTCATCAGATATGGGGTGGGTGGTGGGGGTGTAAAATCTGTCGGCTTGGCTTCCCCCCACACACCTAAGCCCACTGAAGGCCCTGCACGCAGCCCCAGCTGTGCCATGGTGATGGAGGGCACTGCAAAGGGAGAAGAGCAAGAAGAAAAAACAGAGGTGAAGATATAAAGGAGAAGAAAGGTGCGTGCATGTGCGGGGCAGGGTGATAAAGCTGGAAAGGAAAAAGGGATCTGAATTAAGCAGAGGCAGCAGGAGAGGTGTTTGCTGATTAGAAACTGAAGGTTTTACTGAGGAAATGCTGCCCACAGCCCCAAGCCCCCTCCTGCTTAACAAGGGCCAGCCAAGCAGCCCTTGTTACTGCCACGCTGTCTGTGATTTACAAGGCTCCCAAATAGGAACCAGCTTCTGCCCGGGCTCCGAGGCAGCATCCCCGCACTGCACACCCCAGCTCTGCAAGCAGGCGGGTGGGGGAAGTGCAGAGGCAGATTGGGAGATGGGGAAAACTTGCCAATGCACATGAGGGCAGTTTGGGGTTGTGGCAGGCAGCCGGACCCGAGCCCCTCTTTGTGCAGGGGAAGCACGGCGGGAAGGGGAAGGGGAAGGGGCTGCTTTGCACTAAGGCAAAAGCTGCAGCAACTCAGATCCAGCTACCAGCTGGGGACACCCTGGGTGACTCTGGAGAATTCATTGCAGCTGGTCTCTGTTTCCAGTGGGTCAGGTAGGGACAGTGATACTCTCAGTTCTCTGTTTTACACATTGAGACTTAAGCTCTTCAGAAAAAGCAATGTCTTACACCGTACAGCATGCCAATTTTACTTGTAGTTATTAGTTTTTAATACAAGACGGGGGTTTTTTTGTTGTTCTACAGAACTTAAAGCACTGAAAAAGAAAATGTAAATGAGAAAAGAGCCACAGTACCGCTTTGCTTTACAAATGAGGGAACCTGAAAGCTAGAAGAGGAAGCCACCCTGGCCCAAGGTTATACAGTAAAGCAGTGGCAGGGTTGGAAA